AGGGAACGAGTAAATAATTGGAAAGCCATATTTAGAAAATACCTTGAAGGGATCCCTGGGTGGCGCAGCGGTTTGGCGCCTGCCTTTGGCCCAGGGCGTGATCCTGGAGACCCGGGATCGAATCCCACGTCGGGCTCCCGGTGCATGGAGCCTGCTTCTCCCACTGCCTGTGTCTCTGCCTCTCTCTCTCTCTGTGTGACTATCATAAAATAAAATAAAATAAAAAAAAAAAGAAAATACCTTGAAAAAGGAAAGGACAAATAGGGAAAAAAAATTTTAAGGCAGTATGAGAATGAAAATAGAAATGCTGACATTCAGATAATACGCTGCTCAAACAAGAGGGAAATTTGGAGAAGAGAAAATATTTGAAAAAGTAATTGAGATCAGTTTGTTAACTGACCTCAGACTTAAAAAGCCAAGAGCACCAAAAAAAGAATAAAGAAAACTTGACTACACATGCTAACCTGAAATTTAAGAATATGAAAGACCAAGAAATTGTAAAAGCCTACAAAAAGAAGCAGCAGCACATAAAAGAACAAATATGAGCTTAATTAACTGTTTTTTGGCAGGGGGCATATTTTTCAACAGCAACACTGGGTATAAGAAACTATGGAATCCTATTTTCAAAGTTGATAGAAAAGGTCTTAAACTTAGAATTTAATATCTAGCGAAACTAACATTGAAATAAGAGTAGATAATACCCTCAGGCATTAAAGTCCTCCAAAGATTTTTATTAAAAGGCGCACAATGAAAATAGTTTTGAATGAAGTGCTTAACCAAAAAGGTAAGGTAAATTAAAGGATGCTGCAAGACATTTGTGATTATTTACCTTGGTAGAGTTGATTATTATCTTTATAATAAATATACCCTTACTAACTAAGAAAGGTCTAGTTAATACCAACCTTGATGGGTTGGCAGAGGGTGCAAGATCAAAGGATATGAGAGCATATTAAACTTATTAGAAGATGGTATTTTGGATATCACAAATTTAGAGTGTTAAAAATAAAGTAGGATAAACTGAAATGTAAGATTAAGATAGTAGAAATAGGGCCAAATACATCAATAAACATAATGAATCTAATCTAAGTGAACCAAAACTCATTAAGAAAATAACTGATTGGGGACGCCTGGGTGGCTCAGCGGTTGAGCGTCTGCCTTCCTCCCAGGGCGTGATCCTGGAGTCCTGGGATCGAGTCCCACGTCGGGTTCCCTGCATGGGGCCTGCTTCTCCCTCTGCCTGTGTCTCTGCCTCTCTCCGTGTCTCTCATGAGTAAATAAATAAAATCTTTAAAAAAAAAAAAAAAAGAAAATAACTGATTGGAATAAATCAGTTGGAATACCTTCTAGAATACAAATATACTTAAAAGCATAAGAACACAGGAAGGTTGAAAATAGTATTTTTAAAAAAATGCTAACCAAAATAAAATTGTTATTGCTACACTAATAAAAATAAGACAAAGCATTATTAGGGATGGTGAGGGTTGTTAATATAGATAAGGATATAGCATATCAAGAAGGTATAGCAATTTTGAACATGCATGAACCTGACAAAATACATGAAGCAAAAAGTGGTAGATTCAAATAAAGATTCAATTCAGTATCTGAATTGAGAAATTGTTATACCTGTGGAGAAATTTTTTTTTAAGGATTTGTTTGTTTTAGAAAGCATGAGTGGGAGGGGGGTGAGAGAGAATCTCCAGCAGAGTCCATCCATGCTGAGTGCGGAGCCCAAAGTGGGACTCTTGTCTCATGACCCTGAGATCATGATCCAATCCAAAACCAAGAGTCAGATGTTAACCAATAGCACCACCCAGGCACCTTAAAATGGCATAGAAATTTATAAATTCTTTATTTAAACAGAGATTTCAATGTAAAAATCAAGAACAGCAAGTTAGTCCAGTTAACATATCAGGTTCTTTGTTCAGTAACTGGAAAATATTTTTCTCAGGCACACATGGATATTTACAAAATTCATTTGTACTAGGACATAAAGGTTCAGATAAAATTTAAATAGCTATTGTAAAGTGATCTCTAATTACAGGTAATTTAGAAGTTACTAACAAAATGAGTTTTTAAAGTACTATATATATGTATTTGGAAATAAAAATCACACTACCTGAGTAATTTGAGTTAAAAAAAAAAAAAACCAGAAATCATAAATACTTGGAAAGAATGATAATGGATATATTCCAGAAACACATAAATTCAAGAGAAGGTGTATTAGAAAAGAAAACCTGTCAGTATGCAAGGTGTACTTTTCCATCTTAAGTTAGAAAAAGGAACAACAGAATAAATAATGAAAATAGGGATACCAGTCATAACATACAAAGCTGAAAATTGCCTGTTTTGGAAGAAATAACAATGAATCTCCAGAAAAGACTGATCAAGAAGATAAAATTACAAGAGAAAATGACATAATTACCAGTAGAGATTAAATCATTAGTGAATATTTTATGCCAAAAATTCTAAAAAATAGGTGAAATGGGAGAAGTTGCTGTAAAAATTATAACTTTAAAGGGTGCCTGGCTGACTCAGTTCGTAGAACATGTGACTCTTGATCTTGGGGTTGTAAGTTCAAGCCCCATGTTGGGTGTAGAGATTACTTTTTTCAAAAAAAAAAAAATCTTTAAAAAAAAAACTGACTTAAAAAGAAACAAAAAGCTTGAAAGTCCTCTGATCGTTAAATGTAGATTTCTAGATCTGTCTCCTCAGGCCAGGGAAGCAAAAGCAAAAATACACTGTTGTGTCTTCATCAAAATAGAAAGCTTCTGTACAGCAAAGGAGACAGCAAAACTAAAAGATAACCTACTGAATGGGAGAAGATAGTTCCAAATGACATACCTGATAAAGGTTAGTATCCAAAGTATTTAACTTACACAACTGAACACAAAAAAACACAAATAATCCAGTTTAAGAATGAGTAGAAGACATGAACAGACATTTCTTCAAAGAAGACAGAGATGGCCAGCAGACCTATGAAAAGATAATCAGCATCACAACATCAGGGAAATGCAAATCAAAACTGAGATAGCACCTCACACCTGTCAGAATGGCTAAAATCAAAAACAATTATTGGCAAGGATGTGGAGGAAAAGGAACTGTCATGCATTGTTGGTGGGAATGCAGACTTGGTGCAGCCACTGTGAAAAGCAGTATGTTCAGAAAATTAAACAGAACTACCACATGATCTAGTAATTTCACTACTGGATATTTACCCAAAGGATATGAACACATGGATGGATGCAAATGGATAGGTGCATCCCTGTGTTCATAGCAGCATTGTCTAAAATAGCCAAATTATAGAAGCAGGCCCAAGTGTCTGTTGACAGATGAGTGAATAAAGGAGATGTGGCATATATACAATGGAATATAACTCAGCCATAAAAAAGAAGGAAATTTTGCCATTTGCAAAAACATGGAACTAGAGAGTATAAAGCAAAATAAGTCAGAGAAGGACAAATACCATATGATTTCACTCAAATGTGAATGTAAAAAAAAATGAACAAATTAAAAAGACAAACTGAAAAAAGACTTGAAACCAGATCTGGTTAAATCAGACTCAAGAAACAGATGACAGGGCACTTGGGTGGCTCAGTCAGCGAAGCGTCTACCTTTGGCTCAGGTCACGATCCCAGGGTCCTGGGATCAAGTTCTGAATCCGGCTCCTTGCTCTGTGTGGAGTGTGCTTCTCCCAATTACCCACCCTCCCCTTGTGATCTTTCTCTTTCTCATGCTCTACTCTCTCTCAAGTTAATAAATAAAATCTTAAAAAAAAGAACAGATGGTAGTTCTAAAATGATGAGTGCCATGTTGAGAATATCTTGCTTTATGGAGTTCAGAAGGGCCATTTGTTTTTCTTTTCCACTGTGGTCTCTAAGATTTCTAGAGATAGAATTGTTGAATTACCTCCTTAAAGATAGTGCTCCTTTTGAAGTGGTTCGTTCAGGCTTAAAGAAATGTGATAGTTTTTATCTCTTTAAAACATGTAAGAATATATGAGATAATAAGATTTTTTTTTTTAATTTATGATAGTCACAGAGAGGGGGGGGGCAGAGACACAGGCAGAGGGAGAAGCAGGCTCCATGCACTGGGAGCCCGATACGGGATTCGATCCCGGGTCTCCAGGATCGCGCCCTCGGCCAAAGGCAGGCGCCAAACCGCTGCGCCACCCAGGGATCCCAGTTTTTTTTCTTTTATATAACTATTTCCTTCCTTTGATCAAAGCAATTGCTTGTAAACTAGGAGCTTTGCCATCGTTTTTGTTAAAGACAAAAGCAAAGTAACACAAGGTATATTGCCGTCATAGTATTCTGTCAACTACTTTTTAAGGTATATCCTCCAGGTATTCCATATAATGAAATGTTTGTTGCTTAGCTTTTGCCTTTCAGGAAAATTTGAATAGAATATATTCTTTTATGTTAGAGTGTACTAAATTTTCATAAATTAAGCAACAACAAATTTTTATGCTATTGCTTTTGTTTTTTAGTCCAAAGACAACCTGGGCACAATATGTGTTTCTTATTGAAACATCAGAGATTGTAATAGGGCTATAGCAGGAGAAATTGAAAAGCGGGATAGCCTAGAGAGACATTATGATTCAAGAGAGAAAGCCTCTAGTTTTTGACATCCTTCTGGCTCTTGGTGCAAAGGCAGTATTTGTTGTATTCTGAAGCCAAATGTAAAATGATATTCACCTATTTTAAATTATTAGTGACTCCTTTCAAAGTATAAACAAGAATTTTGAAAATTCTATAATTTTTTTAGAAAAAGAATTTTTATTTGGAAATTACTTTTTTTTACATTTAGTTATTCTATGTTTACTAGCATATGTTACAAATATTTTAAAGATTGGAATACATCTATTCTTGTATAATTCAAATTTTGTGTTTACAATTATTATTCCTCTTAGAGTTAAATGCCTTTCTATTTAAATCTGTATAAATTTTTGGGAAGATTTATAAAGTGAGCTGTGCTTTAGATAATATTGATGACTTGTTTAGGAAACAGTACCACTGGAGCGCCCTTTGAGTACTGTGAAACAAGAACAGCCGAGAAAATGGATTGAAGATTTGAACAAGCAAATAGAAGATGATCAGCAAAGAAAAATAGAGGAAAAAATTACATCTTCAAAGGTAACTTGACAAATTTATGTGGATGATATAAAGGGAAAAAACAATTTTAGAATCTTTAATTATAAACCTTAAAGTATCCTAAAACTATTTGATAAGACTAGACTAGTATTCAGATTATTTCACATTTGCTCTTGTAAACCTTTTATTGAATGTATTTTAGTAAGTGATTTTGCATAGCTCCTTAAAACTACCTTTTTAGGAATTTCCTGATTCTATGAATTTCTAATATTCTCCACATTAGTGTCTAAGTATATGGAATCAGTAAAGAATGTAGTTCCATTCATTTTTATGATGATAACTCTGTTCAGTGGCAACTTTTAAAAATCATGTTTGATCGTCGTTTTAGGACTTTATACATGAGAACAATTGGAAAAATTCTTAGTAATTCTTGTTTATCATGATTAGGGTGAGGAACATGACAGATGGGCAATGCATTTTGATTCATTAAAGAACTATCCTGCTTCTCAGTCTCAACTGTCCTCTCGGTCAATACACAACCAACCAGAGTACTTCTGTGTCTCTCCGGACACTCAGGAACTGTCTGATATCAGCAATGTTTATACACCAACGACTGGAAGCCAGGTTGAACCTTCAGAGGAGGAGCATATAGCAAAACCCGTTAGAGATATGGCTATGGCAAATAGTCAGAAAACAAAGTAAGTTTATTTTTCAGTACTAATGCTTAAGAAAGTGTGCTTTTATGAAAAGGACTGTCATCATATTTATAATACGTCTTAACTGATTGAAGTTTGGTATTTTTCTTTAAAGTGAAATGACTAGTGGATATATCTGGAAAAAATGATTTAGCATCCTGTTAAATCTACCTTTTGGGGGTTTTGAATAGCTAAAATGTCTATCTTGCCAGCTTTCTCCGTTCTATGACTGCTCTCCTGGATCCAGCTCAGATTGAAGAACGTGACAGGCGACGACAGAAACAGTTAGAACATCAGGTATTACATTGTAAAACACTGTTCTTTGCTTTAATAAATAATAGTCATGGCCAGTGGATACCTAAATAAATGGAAATAAAAATTTCAATATAAATGTACAGCATAGGCACTGTCCAGTTCTGTGATGAATCTGATTCTTACTGAAGCTTACATTTACATTAAGATTATATTCATTTTGAGAACCAGACAGTATCACATAGTATAGCCAGCCACCTGCCTTCCAGAAGAGTAGGTCTTTAATATAGAAGTCGTATATGTGAAATGGTACTAAATCTTAAGTTAGTATTGTTTATTTTTTTCTTTGGTTTAGTTCTGAGTTCTGTTCAGGATGAGAATTCGTTCTTTTAAGGGAACTATATAGGGCATTGAAGTAGAATTCTGATTGAGAAATCTAGCAGATAAGAAAGGACTAAGTTTAAAATTCTCTCCTAATTTTTAGTCTTTAACACTAAAGGAACTTAAGATTCTGAATAATTCTTTAAAACCTCTGATACATGGAGAATTTGGTTTAATTAATATTGCTACTCTTAATCAGTCAAATGTATTATAGAACATATATAATTTTCTGCACTGTGCTAAGCACTGAGAATTTTTTTTCTTCAGTTTTCGGATTAGTTTTAACAGTCCTCTGGGGTTAAAGAAAAAGCATATAGAATCAGACAGATGAGATATGGGACTAATACATTGGAAATTTGACATTTTAACTTTACTTATATATGTAATACTATATTATATATTATCTGATATTGATAAACTTATTTTAGAAATACAAATAAATGTTAAAATGGATTTTTTAAATTTATGGCAATGCTTTTTGTGATTTATGATTTATGACTAGAAAGCCATCACTGCTCAGGTAGAAGAGAAACGCAGGAAGAAGCAACTGGAAGAACAGCAAAGAAAGAAGGAAGAACAAGAAGAGGAGCGTCGCTTAGCGAGGGAACGAGAAGAGATGCAGAAACAGTATGAAGAAGACATACTTAAGCAAAAACAAAAGGAAGTAAGTACATATTAAAATTTTTTTATTGAAATATAGTTAACACAGTGTCACATTAGTTTGAGGTGTACAACAACATAGTGATTCAAGGGTCCTATATATTCTATGTTCACAAGCGTTCCTTACACATTATTATAGTACCATTGACTGTATTCCCTATGCTGTTGCTTTCATCCCTATGACTTATTCATTTCATAACTGGAAGCCTGTACCTCCCACTCCCTTTCACCTGTTTATTAACCCTCTCTCCCCCACTACCAGTTTGTGGGTCATTTTTGTGCTGGTTTGATTTTTTTGTTTGGCTTTCCATTTTATCTTTTTAGATCCCACCTGTAAGTGACTTCATATGGTATTTGTCTTTCCCATCTGACTTATTTCATTCAGCATAATACCCTCTAAGTCCATTCATGTTACTGCAAATGGCAAGATCTCCTTCTTTTATGGCTAAATAATACTCTACTTTTTGTATATACCACATCTTTATCCATTCATCTGCTGATGGATACTTGGGTGGCTTCCATATCTTGGCTATTATAAATAATGCTGGAGTAAACATAGTGGTACATATATCTTTTGTTTCCTTTGGGTAAATATTCAATAGTGGAATTACTGTGACGTATGATAGATAGTTCTACTTTTAATTTTTTGAGGAAAGTCCATACTGTTTTCCACAGTGGTTATACTGATTTCCATTCCCACCAGCAGTACATGAGGGTTCCCTTTTCTCTGCATCCTCAACGAACACTTGTTATTTCTTGACTTTTTGGTATTAACTATTCTCATTAGGGTAAGATGATATAGTTATGGTTTTGATTTGGATTTTCCTGATTATAGTGATGTTGAGTGTCTTTCCCTGTGCCTGGTAGCTATCTGTATGCTTTGGAAAGCTGTTTGTTTGGGTCCTTTGCCCTTTTTTAAAAATCAAATTATTTTGGGGTGGGGGAGGCACCAGAGTGATTTAATCAGTGAAGAGTCTTACTCTTAATTTCAGCTCAGGTCATGTTCATCAGATCAGGAGACCAAGCCCAGTGTGGAGCCTACTTAAAATCCCTCCCCCACATTACCCCTCCTCACATGCGCAAGCAAAGGTGCTCTCAAAAAAAAAAAAAAAAAGACATTATTTGGGGTTTTGATGTTGAGTTGTACTAGTTCTTTGTATATTTTGGATGTTAACTCCTTTTGTTTGTAGATACATATTGTTTGTAGATATCTTCTCCCGTTCAGTAATTTGCCATTTTGTTTTGTGGATGGTTTCCTTGTTGTACAGATGCTTTTTTATTTTGATGTAGTTACAACAGTTTGTTTTTGCTTTTATTTCTCTTGCCTGAAGAGACACATCTAGAAAAATGTTGCTAAGGCCAATGTTTAAGAAGTTACCGCCTGTTTTCTTTAAGGAGTTTTATGGTTTTAGGTTTCACAGTTTAGATCCATAATCCATTTTCAGTTTATTTTTTTGTGTATGGTAGAAGAAAGTGGTCAGTTTAATTCTTGTGTGTATAACTGTCCAGTTTTCCCAGCACTATTTATTGAAGAGACTTTTTCCCATTGCATATTCTTGCCTCCTTTGTCGTAGATTCATTGACCAGGTAAGCATGGTTTTATTTCTGGGCTCTCTATCCTTTTCTGTTGATCTGTCTGTTTTGTGCCATTATTATACTTTGATTACTACAGCTTGAAATGTGAGATTGTGGTATCTTCAGCTTTGTATCTGCTTCCTCAAAAATGGTTTGGCTATTTGGGGCCTTTTATGTTTCCATTCAAATTTTAAGATTATTTGTTTTAGGGATCCCTGGGTGGCGCAGTGGTTTGGCGCCTGCCTTTGGCCCAGGGCGCGATCCTGGAGACCTGGGATCGAATCCCACGTCTGGCTCCCGGTGCATGGAGCCTGCTTCTCCCTCTGCCTATGTCTCTGCCTGTCTCTCTCTCTCTCTCTCTCTCTCTCTCTCTCTCTCTCTCTCTCTCTCTGTGACTATCATAAATAAATTAAAACTTATAAAAAAAAAGATTATTTGTTTTAGTTCTATGGAAAATACTATTGGTATTTTGATAGGGATTGCATTCAATCTGTAGATTGCTTTGAGTAGAACGGACATTTTAAGTGTTAATTTTTCCTATCCACGAACATGGCAGTATTTATATTATTAATAACATAGAGTAAAACTGGATGTATTTTTAAAGGAAAAGTAATCAGAAGTTGAACATTTGCAGTTATTTTGAAATTTTGAAGGTATATGCAAAAACACTGAAGTTTTGCATTAAAAAGTTATGAATGTGGTATGCCTGGGTGGCTCAGTGGTTGAGCATCTGCCTTCAGCTCAGGGCTTGATGCCAGATGGAGTCCTGTATCGGGCTTCCTGCAGGGAGCCTGCTTCTCCTTCTGCCTATGTCTCTGCCTTCTGTGTCTCTCATGAATAAATAAATCTTTTTTTTAAAAAAAGTTATGAACGTATAGGAGAAGCTGGAGAAGGTTTAATTATTTCAAGAGATTGGTTCACCAGTGCCATATTGCTTTGGTGGTTTTCTCTGTTGAGAAGGGTCAATACAATGGAATACAAAAGTTATCCATGTGCTTCATTTTGAAATGTTTTCTAAGCAGTGATTATTAAAAATATTCTGTATGTGTTGAAATGATTGGCCTTTCTGTCTGTATTCATTAGTGAACAGGGGCATATGTTTGCAGTGATTGGCTGGGATTAATGATACATTTTATTGCTGTGTTAGAGGTTTCCTGTGTGCTAATATATAAGAGCCTTTTTAAAAAGAGTAGATACTTAGTTACCTAGGAGAACATCTCTATTAAGTGGTGTAGACATCATAGATATAATTGTGTCAGGTGCCATGTGTGAATTGACCTCACGTGAGCAAATCCTACAATGACGTTTGATTGCCAAGGATTTGTGAGGTTTAGGGGTAGAGCAATGACCATTTCCCCTGGCTCTGGGAGATGGGGCCCAGAGCATGCATTTTCTTGCTTTCATTCCATACTTAGCTGATGAAGCAGCGATAGTCTGGGATCTAATTTCATTATGTTGAATTGGCTTGAGCCAACTACTCCTTTGAAATAACTATAGATCTGAAAAAAATAAAAGGATCATTTGTTTGAATTGAAGGAAATGACCTTAACCTTGTGTTTTACATCTTAATAATATATTTTTAATCTTAATGGAGTTCTGATGGAATTGAACCTGGTTTTAGAAACTTTGAAAACTTTATTACTATAAACTTCAGTGGGTAAAGGAGTTCTATATTTGTGGTCTAATATAGCTGGAGAAAATGATACTAAAGTGTAAGTTACAAAAGGGAGAAACTTTGCTGTGTTGTTTTCCAGTATCTTGAATAGTGCCTGGCCCCTAGGAGGAGCTTGTCTGCTCAGAATAGTTAAGTAGTCTGGGTGGCTCAGCAGTTGAGTGTCTGCCTTTGGCTCAGGGCATGATCCTGGGTCCTGGGATCAAGTCCAGCATCGGGCTCCCTGTGAGGAGCCTGCTTTTCCCTAAGTCTCTGCCTCTCTCTGTGTGTCTCTCATGAATAAATAAATAAAATCTTAAAAAAAAAAAGTTTGTTCATGATAACTATGTTTAATAATTTTGTGTACTTCAATATTAATAGGAAATCATGACTCTCAAGACAAATGAATTGTTCCAGACAATGCAGAGAGCACAGGAGCTAGCACAGAGACTGAAACAAGAACAGAGAATACGAGAATTGGCTCAGAAGGGACATGATACATCTGGATTGATTAAAAATCTTGGTGGTAAGCACTTTGCTAGAATTTTTTTTTTTTTAGAATTTCACTTATAATAACTTTTGAAGATGACTTTAACTGCCTATTTTAAATACTTTTAATACATTTATTAACATTTTTTTAAGGAATTTCAGACCTTGAACTAATGTAACTTTATATTGCTTATTTTATTTGAGAGATTGCCTTAAGAGCAGAACTAAATAATGTTACACTTTCCAATAATCTTTTATGATGTAGGAAAGATGTTAGGGTTTGAAGCTGATAGCCAAGAAAGAATTGAGACGTCTTTGGTGCAAAAAGGTGGTTTTATTAAAGCATGGGGAGGGGACCCATGGGCAGAAAGAGCTGCACTGTGGTCATGAGGTAGTGACCCATTATATACTTTCTTTTTCTTTTTAACCCATTATATACTTTCAAGTTGGGAGGAGGTTAGAGAGAATGTAAGTCTCTAAGGAATTTTGGAGGCAAGGTTTTCAGGACCTTGCAGGGGCTAGCTTTTGTTAGGAAAAGGTCATTTATTACTGTCTAGTAAAACCTTAATTTTATTAGGGACCCTTCAAATGTATATTGGTGGGTTATATGCTTGGGGATGATTGCCAACATGTATCAAGTAGACTTACAGGATTCTGGGGGCTAAGATTGCCGTTTGTCTTTAGCAAAGTGTCAGCATCCTGGCAGTTGAGTTCCTAGAGGAATGTTACTCTGCCTGTTTCAGGGACTGGTCAGTGGGCTGTAAGTAGCAAGGAAATTTAATAATTTTTTTCTGCCTTTGTTTTCCATATCATTTTACATAGATTTCCTTATGTTTTGCTCATAGTAGGTAAAATGTATACTTTTTTACCCAATTTTTTTGGTGAAATCTATGTAGTGATCTCTCTATATTCGATAAGGGAGAAAAATGCAGGTCACTTTTTGTAAGAAACTTTGGGATAGTCCTTTTACATTTTCATTGCACTGTTCACACATACTGATTGCACCAAAAGTCTTGTGCGTATTAGGTTGCTGCTACACATATTTTCTGTTAATCTTCCTGAACTGTCATTATTTGGGTAATATATTTCTCTTGTCAGTTGATGATAAAAGTGGAATATGCTACATCTACTAACAACCTTTCATATTTAGGATATGGCTTGGATGATGTCAGTGGTAAAATGAATACATGTATTAATTCTACAACCTCTCCCAAAAAGGATACTGCTGTACAAACAGGTATTCGTTTAAAACTTGTGATTTGGTTTAAAATTTACTTAAAATTAATGTCACAGTTAGAATTAAACTCAATTTAGAATTGAGCTCCTGATTAAAAATGAAAGGAGTAGGCATGTCTGGGTGGCTCATTTGTTTGAGAGTCTGCCTTCAGGCTCAGGTCATGATCCCAGAATCCTGGGATTGAACCCTGCATCAGGCTCCCTGCTTAGCGGGGAGCCTGCCTCTGCCACTCCCCCTGCTTGTGTGCATGCGCTCTCTTTCTCTCTGTCAAATATGTAAATAAATAAAGTCTTAAAAAATGAAAGGAATTCAAAGTTTTCAGTAAGAATTAGAAAATAAAGGAATGTCCTCGGTTTTAATTTCTCTGTAACAACTTTATTGAGGTATAATTCACATAGCATAAAATTAACCCTTTTAAAGGATACAGTGCAGTGTTTTTTAAGTTTTTTTTTTTTAAGATTAATTTATTCATTAGAGACACATGGAGAGGCAGAGACAAAGGTAGAGGGAGAAGCAGGCTCCCTGCAGGGAGCTTGGTGCAGGACTCAATCCCAGGACCCTAGATCATGACCTGAGCCAAAGGTAGCTGCTCATCCACTGAGTCCCTTAGGTGTCCCTCAAGTTTTTTTTTTTTTTTAAGATTTTATTTATTTATTCACAAGAGACACGGGGGGAGAGAGAGGCAGAGACACAAGCAGAGGGAGAAGCAGGCTCCATGCAGGGAGCCCGACATGGGACTCGATCCCGGAACTCCAGGATCATGCCCTGGGCCCAAGGCAGGTGGTAAACTGTTGAGCCACCCAGGGATCCCCGCCCCTCAAGTTTTTATTTAAATTTTTATTAACATATGTGGTGAAAATGTTTCAGGTGTAGATAGAATATAGTGACTCATCACTTAGTAAAATACCCAGTGCATACACAAGTGCCTGTTAATACCAATACCCATTTAGCCCATCCCCCCCGCCCACTTCCCTCCATCACCCATCAATTTGTTCCCTCTAGTTAAGAGTCCCTTAGGGTTTGCTTCCCATTCTTTTTTCCCCCTTTCCCTATCTTCATGTGTTTTGTTTTTTAAATTGTTTTTTAAATTTTCATTCATAAGAATGAAATCATATGGTATTTGTCTTTTCTGACTGACGTACTTCACTTAGCATAATACCTTCTAGTTCCACCCATATTGTTGCAAATAGCAAGATTTCATTCTTTTTGATGGCTGTGCTATTCCGTCTCTTTATCCATTCGTCTATCAGTCCATGGACATTTGGGCTCTTACCATATTTTAGCTATTGTTGATCATGCTGCTGTAAACATCATCGTTCCTGTGCCCCTTGGATCAGTATTTTTGTGTCCTTTGGTAAATATCTAGTAGTGCAACTGCTGGGTTGGAGAACAGTTTTACTTTTACCTTTTTGAGGAACCCCCATACTGGTTTCCAGAGTGATTACATCAGTTTGCATTCCCAGCAACAGTGTGAGAGGTTTCCCCTTTCTCCACATCCTTTGACAACATCTGTTGTTTCCTGTGCTGTTAATTTTAGCCATTCTGACAAGTGTGAGATGATATCTCATCATGATTTTGATTTGTATTTCCCTGATACTGAGTGATGTTGAGCATCTTTTCATGTGTCTATTAGCCAATCTGTATGTCTTCTTTAGAAAAATGTTGTCTTCTGCTCATTTCTTAACTGGATGACTTATTTTTTGGGTGTTGAATTCGTTATGTCCTTTATAGAGTTTGGATACTGACCCTTTTTCAGATCTGTCATTTGCACAGATCTTCTCCCATCCTTTAGGTTGTCTTGTAGTTTTGTTGATCATTTCCTTCACTGTGCAGAAGCTTTTTATTTTGATGAAGTCCCATTAGTTCATTTTCGCTTTTGTTTCCCTTTCCATTTCTAGAGACGTGTCTAATAAGAAGTTGCTACAGCTGAGGTCAGAGGTTTCTGCCTGTGTTTTCCTCTAGGATTTTAATGGTTTCTTGTCTCACATTTACATCTTTCATTCATTTTGAATTTATTTTTGTGGATGGTATAAAAAAGTGGTCCAGTTCATTCTTTTGTATGTTGCTGTCCAGTTTTCCCAACGCCATTTGTTGAATAGATTAGTTGACCATATAGTTGTGTGACCATTTTTGAGTTCTCTGTTCCACTGATCTGTGTGTCTGTTTTTGTGCCAGTACCATACTATCCTGATTACTACAACTTTGTGATATAGCTTGAAGTCCAGAATTGTGATGCCTCCAAATTTGCTTTTTCAAGATTGTTTTGGCTATTTGGTGTCTTTTGTGGTTCCATACGAATTTTAGGATTGTTCTAGTTCTGTCAAAAATGCTAGTGGTATTTCGATCGAGATTGCATTAAATGTATGGATTGCTTTGGTTAATACATTGTAACAGTATTTATCTCTCAGTCCATGAGCATGGAATGTTTTTCCATTTCTTTGTGTTGTCTCTAATTTCTTTTCTTAGTGTTTTATAATTTTCAGAGTACAGATCTTTTACCTCTTTGGTTAGGTTTATTCTTAGGTATCTTAAGCTGTTTGGTGCAATTGTAAATGGGATTCAGTCCTTAGTTTCTCTTTATGATGTTTCATTACTGTTGTATAGAAATGCAGCTGATTTCTATATATTGATTTTTTTATCCTAACTTTAATGAATTTATCATTTCTAGCAGTTGTTTGGTGTGGAGTCTTTTTGGTTTTCTTTTATGGGGTGGTTTTCTTTTTTAAGTTTTTTTTTTTTTTTTTTATAATTTTTATTTACTTAGGATAGTCACAGAGAGAGAGAGAGAGAGAGAGAGAGAGGCAGAGACACAGGCAGAGAGAGAAGCAGGCTCCATGCACCGGGAGCCCGACGTGGGACTCGATCCCGGGTCTCCAAGATCGCGCCCTGGGCCAAAGGCAGGCGCCAAACCGCTGCGCCACTATGGGGTGGTTTTCTATATAGAGTATCATGTCATCTGTAATAGAGAAAGTTTGACTTCTTCCTTGCCAATTTGGATGTCTTTTATTTCTTTTTGTTGTCTGATTACTGAGGCTAGGACTTCTAGACTATGTTAAATAGCAGTGATGAGTGGATGTCCCCCTCTTGTTCCTGACTGTAAAGGAAAGCTCTCCGTTTTTTCCCCATTGAGGATGATAGTAGCTCTGAGTTTAGTTTATGGCCTTTATGATGTTGAGGAATGTTCCATTTATCTCTACTTTGTTGAGGGTTTTTATTAAGAATGGATGCTGTATTTTGTCAAATGCTTTTTCTGCATCTATTTAGAGGATCATATGGTTCTTATCCTTTCTTTTATTATTGTGGTGTATTATGTTGATTTGCAAATATTGAAATATCCTTGCAGCCCAGGAATAAATGCCACTTGATTGTGGTGAATAATTCTTTTAATGTCCTGTTGGATTTGATTTGCTAGTATTTTCACATCCATGTTCATTCATCAGGGATATTGGCCTATAATTCTTTATTAGTGGGGATCTTCTTTTGTTTGTTTTTTAAGATTTTATTTATTTATTCATGAGAGACACAGAGGCAGAGACACAGGCCGAGGGAGAAGCAGGCTCCATAGAGGGAGCCTGATGTGGACTTGATCCCGGGACTCCAGTATCATGCCCTGAGCTGAAGGCAGACACTTAACCGCTGAGCCACCCAGGCATCCCTCCATTTCTGTTTTTATTGTTTGTTTGTTGGGACCTGATTTTTGATTACTGATTCAGTTTCTTTGCTGGTTATGGGTCTGTTAAAATTTTTTTCTTCCTGTTTCAGTTTTGGTAGTTTATAAGTTTCTAAGAATTTATCCATTTCTTCCAGATTGCCCATTTTGTTGGCATATAAGATTTCATAATAGTCTCTTAACTAGGGCACCTGAGTGGCTCAGTGCTTGAGCGTCTGCCTTTGGTTCAGATTGTGATTCCGGGGTCCTGGGATTGAGTCCCACACAGGACTTCCTGCATGGAGCCTGCTTCTCCCTCTGCCTATGTCTCTGCCTCTCTCTCTCTCTTACGAATAAATAAAATCTTAAAGAAAAAAAACAAACTTAATAATCTCTTATAATTGTATTTCTGTGGTGTTGGTTGTGATCTCCCCTCTTTTATTTGAGTCCTTTCTCCATTTTGATAAAGCTGGTTAGGGATTTATCAATTGTATTAATTCTTTCAAAGAAACATTTCATTAATCTGTTCTATTGGTATTTTTGTTTCTGTACCATTTATTTCTGCTGTAATCTTTATTTCCTTTCTTCTGCTGGCTTAGACATTACTGTTCCTTTTCTAGCTCCTTTAAGTGTAAGGTTAGGTTGTGTATTTAAGACTTTTCTTGCTTCTTGAGGTATGCCTTTATTGCAGTATACTTCCCTTTTAGGACCACCTTGCTATATCCCAGAGGTTTTGGACTGTCATGTTTTCATTTTGATTTGCGTCCATGCATTTTTTAAATTTCTTAAAGAGTTTCCTGGTTAACCTCATTCTTCAGTAGGATATTCTTTCATCTCTATGCATTTGTGGTCTTTCCAAATTTTTTCTTGTGGTTGACTTCAGGGTTGTAGCATTGTGGTCTAAAAATATGCGTGGTAGGATTCTCCGTCTTTTTGTTTTTGTTGAAGGCCATTGTGACCCAGTATGCGATCTATTCTGGAGAATGTTCCATGTTCACTCAAAAAGGATGTATTCTGATGCTTTAGGGTGACACTCATGTTCATAGCAATTATTAGTCACAATAACTAAAAGGTGGAATCGATCCAAATGTCCCTACAGATGAATGGATAAACAAACTGTGGTATACACCTACAGTGGTATATTACTCAGCCTCAAAAAGGGAGGAATTAGGACACAAGCTATACAAATACATGAACGAACTTCGAGGACATTATCCTCATAGGAAAACAAGCCTGTCCTAAAAAGACAACATAGGATTCCACTGATAAGGTACTTAGTCAAACTCATAGAAACAAAGTAGAATGGTGATTGCCAGAAGTGGGCAGAGAAGGGAAGGGGAAGTTAATAGGTATAGAACCTTTTTTGAAAACCAAAAACTATGTAAATGCTTTTGAAAAAAAATAGTTAAAATAATAAATTTTGTGTTTTACAACAATTGAAATTTAATCCTCTGAAAATTTTTCTTTAGATGACTTAAATACAGGAATGTTCACCATTGCAGAATCATGCTGTGGATCAATAATAGAGAGGGAAATTCTAAATTGCTCATCTCCTGAGATTCCTGCAGAATTTAATGACCAGTTTAATAAAGACAAACAGGAACTAATCAATCAGGATAAAGCAGCCAACTTAGAAAAAGAAAACAGTTGGTATAATGATCAGTATGAGTTTGCAAGGACAGAGAAAAAACATATGAAGAAGTGTCCTAAAAGGCCTGATTGGAATATAAATAAGCCACTCAAAAGGTATATTCCGGCATCAGAAAAGTACCCTAAACAGCTTCAAAAGCAGAGAGAAGAAAAAAAAGTAAGAAGGCAGATGGAACTGCTTAATTTGGTAGAAAGAAATAATCCTGGACATCTCTCTCAAAATAGAGGGACTTCACCAGTTCTTCCTTCATCTCAAGAAGCTGAGGCAAGGTTCAGGTGGCATCTAATCAGAAAGGTAACTCTTCTGTCTTAAAGTATGTATTGATGTTTCTGATGAAAACAGTTCCCCACATGCTTATTTTGACAAGACTGTTCTGGATCTAAGCAAGAATTTAAGAAATTTGCTTTCATTTGTACCAGGCATTTGTCATGGGCAAATCCATCATGCTGTTGCTTTTTGTAAATCAAGTTTTATAGGAACACATCCAGGCTCATCCTTTTATGAATTGTCTGTGTCTGGCTTAGAGTAGTTCCAAGAGACCACCACATGGCCCACAAAGCCAAAAGTATTTACTATTGGGTCCTTACAGCAAGACTTGACACTTAATACCATTAATCTATACAGGGTTTCATTATTCAAATAGCCATTTAAAACTCATTTGTATTTCATATAGACAGGATAATTTTACAAGGTCAGGAATTACTGCATTGGTTCCCTGGGACTGAAAAAAATAAAATCTCTTTATCCCATTATTTAGTATCTTGTTACTCCATTATTATCCTCAGATTATTTCAAAAAGTTATTAAATATTTGTGGGGACATACGGCAGTACTATTACCTCTCTCTGCATTTATCTGCCTTTCAGGAGGAACCTCTGAAAAGTGATTCTTTCAGCAAGGAAAGGTATGTTATGGATTGGATTGATTGCATAGCTACTTAGTGCTGTGTGGTAAAAAAGTACAAAATCTTTGCTCAGACTATAGGTAAGATCAAAGCATGTATATACATGAAGTCAGTTACAGTAAACTGTAGGGACTTTGAGGTGAGATACAGAAGTTTAAGGGAAGGGGATCCCTGGGTGGCGCAGCGGTTTGGCGCCTGCCTTTGGTCCAGGGCGCGATCCTGGAGACCGTGGATCGAGTCCCACGTCGGGCTCCCGGTGCATGGAGCCTGCTTCTCCCTCTGCCTGTGTCTTTGCCTCTCTCTCTCTCTCTCTCTGTGACTATCATAAATAAATAAAAATTAAAAAAAAAAAAAAGTTTAAGGGAGGTGTGGCTAGCATTTATCTACAATTTGAAGACCCAGTTAGGACTGGGCCTAAGCATTTAGGTAGCAGTGTAGGGGAGGTATTGTCTGCAGACTTAGCCAAGATAGTTTTGACTTGGGGTGACTGGGTGGCTCAGTAAAGTGACTCTTGGTTTCACCTCATGTCATGATCTCGGTCGGGGTCATGGGATTGATCCCCATGTCAGGCTCTGTGCTTAGTCTGCTTGGGACAATTCTCTGCTCCTTCCCCCTTCCTGTTAAAATAGTTTGAACTTTCTACTTATTACAGTAGTAGAACAGACATTCTACTTGGATCAAGGAAGTTATGAAAAAATGACTAGTAGGGATGAGAAATTTTATTCCATGCCTTTGTGCATGAACCAGGTGGTTTAGAGTTGTGTCACAATGTGGCTCTACCAAGAAGTTTGGTTCAGAGAAACATTAGGCTTAAATCAGCCCAGCTAGTGTTGATCCTCATTTTTCCTCTGTACTGCATATATCCTTGCCAAGTAAAAATTCATCCTATTCTGTTGCCATTTTAGGAAAACTGTCATAGAACTCACTTCTATACCTAGTATTCTTAAAAATGCTACATGTAGAATAAATTGAAATGTGATTAAAGAGTAGATGTGCTTAAAGCTTCTTAGTTGTTAATTGTGCTTTTTTTGGGGAAAAAAAAACAGGTCTCAGTCACCACTGGTACTGGTGAAAAACAGAACACAACAAACTCAGACACTAAAAAACAGAGAGAATCTGATCTTAGGACAGAAACATCAGACAGAAACATCACCTGGAGCTTCTGAACCATCCCATTTTATCCCCTATGTCCGAACCAATGAGATTTATCATCTTGATCCAGATGCACCACTGTCCAGGCCTTTAACCCAGGATCTTCAGTACCAAAATCCACATGGTAAGCACCCCCATGTAGCTAGGAGGGGTAGAATCTCTCTTCCGGGGTCCGTTACTAAATTTTTAATTGAATATTAACAAATTTTGCTTGTTGGTACTTTCTTAATGAATCCTAATACTTACCACTTTCATCTGTCTTCAGACTGTGACCAAGAACAATGGCAGCTATTTGAATCTGATGTCAGGGACCCACTTCTCAATCCTAACTTGGTGAAAAACAGGGATCGACAGCAAGCAATCCTTAAGGGACTATCAGAACTGAGACAGGTAGGGTTTAAGTGTGAATAACTTTGCTGTACATGGCTGATGGACAGCTAGATATTAGCAGGACTACTGAGTTACATGATGTTTAAAAATTCCCTTGTATATTAATATTGAAATAAAACAGGAGTTTGATTCACATTGCCATCTTAAATATTCCAGTATGAAACCATGAGACAGTTCAAATATTAAGACAGTTTTATTAAGTGAAAAAAAAAAAAAAACCATACATTTGAAAAGTAAAACATTATCATAAGGCCCTAAAATGAACGGCAGAAAATATACAATTATGCTTTAATAAATTCTTAGTGATGCAGTTCACTTTTTTTAAAAAAATTGAATGTGTTGGCAGTGTTCAGAACAGAATATTGATGCAAATCCCAAAGAAAAATACCCATCCGACTACGGGTCTTCCTCCCAGATCAGTTATTGTCACTTCTCATTATCTTGCTCAGGCAAAAATAAAATCTGGTAACACATTCAATATTTAAGGCTATAACCTTTATCAACTGGCTTTTAAATACCTATCCCTGATCTTAGGAAAAAATATGCTACCACTTTAGGAGTGTCCTTTTCCATGTCCGGTCATTTATTTACATTTGCCTCTTGCATTTCAAAAATGTTACCCAATTCGTTGGCATAGAGCTAAAAAATGACAACAAAATATCCTTTAGTTCTTTAAATGCTAGCTTTGGTTACATATAGGTTATGTAACAAGCAGTAAATATTTTAAAATTTTCCTTCAAAGTGACAAGGCACTTAATAGAGGTAAAAGTTGGGAGGTCAAGAGGCAGGAATATATATATATATATATATATATATATATATATATATATATATATATATATATATATATATATATATATATATAGTGACCCACCATGTGTAGTAGCCACATCTTATTTCAGCAGGGCCTTATCTAAGCCACTAAAGGTTAGTGCAGTCAAGATAAACACTGGATGTGTTAAGGGAGACTCCTTCAGTGTGTCTAATTACCATTTTAAGAGCCTTGGGGGGGGGGATTTCAGCCCCACAGTTGTGGAGACTTGGAAAAGTCATCCCTATTGGTTTTTATGCTAAAAACATATGTGATAGCTACACAATATCCAAGTGAGAAAATCTGATGTAAGTTTTTTGAGTGCTTAAAATCCAACATGACAAAAAGCTTATTAAGCTATGGCCAATTAAGTTATTACAGGTTTTCAAAGTAAATATAATTCTTGGATTTAGCGGGGCTGAAATGTAAAATAGGAATATTTGCAAGTCTGCTGCACACCTTACTAACATATCAATGTGATTTCAGGGCCTTCTCCAGAAGCAAAGGGAGTTGGAAACTAATCTCATGCCTTTAGCTGCAAATCAAGAAGAGAATTTTAATTCTTCGTTTTAAATGTAGAAAATCAAATCCTTCACATTTGTTGCTTCTAAATTATGTGTTCATTGCATAACTGTATTTTCCAAATAACCTATATTTTAAAAATGCTATTTAAAACTTGTACATTATATAGTACAATGCTGTGTGTGTGTATATATATATATTTTTACAATAAAACACATTTTTGTAAAGCTTAGTTTAAAAAACCATTTTTTTCTGCTCTATCACAATCTAGGCATTTAAGCACTTTCTACTTACCTTAAGACAGGTTTCTGACCTGTTCACAATGTTCTTCTACACTTACATAGCTTATTACTGAAGTACCACTTAGGTATAGTCTATAAAAAGATTTAAGAGGTTAGAACTCTTCCAAGTTCTCTGAGGGGCCAAAGGAAGGTCTGACTTAACACATCCTAACATTAACTAAAATAGCTCAAGATTTCTTTAAGACTCTTCAAAAACAAGTTTGCATTTGTAATGCAGGCAGTTATTAGCAATAGATAAAGTATATGGGGATCAATTTTAAAACCAGTATCTGAATTTTAAACGTTATTTTTAGTAAAGGACTTAAGTGTTTACCACCTCAAAAATATACTTTTTTCTAGGACTACCAATTTAAAAATCTATAGCAAGGTTCAATGCCTTTAATAAACAGAAGAAGTCTATCTTTTGGAAATATGAATTTGGTTAAGTCAAAGACCACACACTAATTAAGCATTGAAAACCATAATGATCAAAATACCTCAAATAAAAGGAAAGGTTTACCCAAAATTTTAGCAGCAGGCAATTTTTACACGGCTAAGTCTAAAGATAAAAAATAATGCTGCCTGGTATAAGTCCTAAGTCTTATGTACATAGATAAATTTTGAGGTATTGAGCCCAAATCCTCTAAGTATCTATTGACATCACTGGCTTATACCTGTATAAAAAACTATACAAACGCTTAAAATAAATACAACAGTTGATTGGTACATCATTTCAGCAAAAGTAGTTGGTATCATCTGACAGAGGGGGGGGGGAAGAAAAGCCACTGTTTATTATCCTTTTGCAAATATCTCATTTTATATATAAAACAGGCTTCAATTTGAAGCCCAAGTACAGGTGACATATAAATTTAAAACTTAAAAGTGCCAACATGAGATAATTCAAGTACAATATATGTTAAAAATATATATATATTTATTTCAATTTGCAGATGCTTCAACTGTTACAGGCCATCATGATTTAAATAAGAGAAAAAAAAAACATTTGAGGAAGGACAAGAAACCTTTTGTTTAGAGAATGAAATATAAATTGTTAATTCACTTATAAGAAACAGTCCAGTAACAACCTATTTCAAAAAAAAAAAAGTGACTATTTCTCTTTTGAAAACGGCCTGGAAGAATCACTTTTCCCCCAACTTAATGGAGATTTATCTCTATCCAAGCTTTGAGTATAAGCAGATAAAAAGTAATTTTCACTTTCTTGAGGCTGACTTGATGAAAGGGCATATGGTGTCCCCAAAAACGTCTGATGAGTGAGAACATTAAAATGACTAAACTGATGGGACATATTTAATTGACTGTGATAAACCTGAAAGTTGCTATATGAATCTTGTTCAGTTGCACTGCTGTTCTCTCCTTCAGAGCATACTATAGCAACAGAAGCTCTCTCTTCAGAATCAATTTGATAAGTCTTATCTTCTAATAAACTGTTTTGCACGTCAAGAGATGATTGCAACTCAATTTGAATATTCTTATTTTGATCTGTTCCACGTGATCCTTTGGTCTCTTTCGCCAATATTTCTGAATGAAAATTGCTGCATACTTCTATTTGTGAGATTTCATCCCCTGAATCCAGAGACATATCCTCTTCATCCTTTTCATCGTTTTCTAAAAGAGCTACATTTAAAAAACAAAAAGTCCTCCTCTATTGAAATACACAATTTGTTTAAGTTTTAAAATTATACACTACTCACACAATATAATGCGTCAGGGTCTGCAAGTCCACAATCCCTTAAAGCTTGGTCTTCAGCCACAAGTTCACTTAGTCACAACACTCACACTAGGTGTGAATGTCCAGATAATCCGATGCTAAAAGCTTCTGCGAAATGTGTTCACGTTTAATGTTGGGAAATCCCAACTCCCAGCTCCAAAGGGGTTAATGTCAAAACAGCATCTAAAGTTATACGGTAATTCAGTATTTGACAAGACAAATAAAAAATAAAAATTTTGACATCTAGCTTCATTGGATTATGACTAAACTGGTTAGTTCTAGCAAATGTTTGATCATCTCTGCTTTTCATCAAAAACAAACTACATCTTTCATTTAACCTAAATCCTGGAACCAAAGCAGAGGCCGCCACACAAAACACTAAAGCTATGGATATATCCCTACTACCTTGTACCTAAATTGCTTTATACGTCTGGGGAGATTTTGTAGCCCAGTGCTAAATCCCCATTATCTGGTGTCGTCCTTTTAAAAAATAGGACCCCCTTGCTGACAACAGCAGCCAATAAAGTTTACATACCCTCAAAGAAAAAATGCCTACTCTGTAGTATGCAGCATACTTAACAGCTTGTATTGACTACAGTATGATAAATGAGCAGATTTTGTGTACGCTAAGCGTAAGAACGATAAGTGCCTTGAAACACTTCCCCTAAAGCTGTTTACACGGAGGGGGAAGTAGTTTCAGAACAGGCATTTCGTTCTATGAAAACGAACCAAAATCGTTCCTCTTTTTCTGTCTGCCTTAAAGAAAAGGAAAACTACTGAAAAGTTACCTGACTGCGACTCAAGATTCTCATTAGCACCAAGCAGTGGAAGGTTTTCTTCTGTGATTGAGTTGTGATAGCCCACAAGATTTTTAAAGTTTTGCATGAAGTCTTCAGTAGTTGCAACCACTATTCCGTTATCTGTATAACTGGAAAGCATCTTGATATTCTTTTCTAAATGGAAAAAAAAAAAAAGATTCAAGTCAAGACCTGAGATAACCTACACAGACAACAATGCCTGCCCCCGGCCCCCATGAAAAGTGCTTAACACCCACCACAGGCCAACAAAACCATTCCATGCACATTCCTATATTCATAATAGAAAGCTTAAGAAGATGCTCTTTACCTGTTAGAAAGACTATGTGTCGTTGCTGTATGTTCTGAGCCTGAAGTCTGATAAGACAATCCAATTCTGGAGCATTTCGAGTTTGTGAATCACAATTGTGGTATGACAAAATTTCAACCAGATGTTTCTTCTGATAGACATTCAGAAGTGTCAACAGACTTAGAGCTTTAGCATTCAACCTGGGAAAGTAAGTAGTTCAATATTTGGGTCTGCATTTCTAAAATTTGGTATGGATGTTTTTGCTTCAAATTAAAACCATAATTTCTCAATTGAGGCAACCAATGACAGCTGCACTGCTTATTAGTTCCTGCCTGATGCACAGGGTGCTTCCAAAGAGAGAGGGGAGTAGGAAAATTGTGCAACCCACGTAAGTCCAGGGGATTTCTATGGGTGCAAAGCCTGAGAGCCAGTTATTGAACTTAGACTAAAATCTCAGTCATTTTACTTACTAAATAACATTTCCTCCTTTAGCTTTACTAATTTAGAACTTGAATAAAGGTCATAGAAGGGCAAAAAAATATTTCCTGCAAAAAAAAAACGTGGCTCAAAGCTGCTTCTATACCTCCAAGCACAAGGCAACAAGTGGTAGAAATTAGCACCAAAGTAATACTTTTGGGCCTCATTATTATTTGTTTACCGTTCCCTGTAAACAAGCCCTATACAAAGGTAAAGGTTTTTCCAATGCCTGTTTTCACATAATTTGAAGATAAAGCAAGTTTTAAAAAACTAAATACAAAAAGTTAAATACTTCTCAATTATCTAAGCCTGAATTTCCCTGTGTACCATAGAATTAGAAGGTATTACAGTATCAGAAGAAAAAAATGTCTTCTTGTCTAAGTTTAAAAGAATGCTGGTTGTACAAAATAGAAAACAACTTTAACTAGAGTCTCTCTCAGAACCTTAAATGTGTAAGTACACTATATGGACTCTAGTAGTAGGATACACTATCCAAAATTCATCTTAGATATCATCTGTGGAGCCTCTCAAGTGGACTAGTACTCCAATGACCAGTAGGCATTTTAGAAATCAACTACATAAATCAATGTCCTAATCACAAATCCCATCATTATCTTGGAATTGATGTCTCAGTATGTGTGTTATTATTAGATGAGCAGCCTAAGGCAGTCCTCAACTGGGAGAGTCTGATCTAGTTGGCATATATAGTTTGATTTAAAAAAAAAATGATGCAGACTATTCCATTTTGATTACTATTCTAAACCCTCAAGTGGCAAACATTAAGCCAATTCTACCTATACACATAACTAGAACTTCAATGTTAGCAAACTTCTACCTAAATAAGAATACTATTTCCAAACAGGCTAGAATAACTATATTCCCCCTTATTGCTGGCTAAACACATATGTGAAAACTGAGCAGCATTTATAATCTATAAACAAAAATAGAGAAATTTTGTGAACACAATGTTAACATCAACAACCATTTTATAGTTCTTTTTCAAATCTTACCTGCCTAATTCCTTTAGTTTTTTCTGAAATTTACAGTGGACTTTCCATTGCCATTTTCCTTCAGGAGTACTGAGTTCTTCAAGGAATGTCAAAAAATTTTTAAGGTTCTCTGTTAGAGATAATGAAGTTCATTTTAAATTTAATAAAAGTCACTCAACTGAATTATGGAAGAAATGTTTGTTGCTACCATATAGAAACCTCTACATTCCTATATAGTATTTTCCTTGTTCCACCCCCCCACAAGGGAGACAGACATCTATATATCCTCTTAGATTTAAAAACATATGCATTAAAAAAACAAAAAACCCATGCTGATAACAGTAACAAAGCAGAAGGGATCCAAATGCAGTAGGTGCAGAGAACTGCTTTACACCAGATTTAGAGGAAATTATATGCAAAGACTAAGAGACTCAGAATTTGACGCAATAAAATGATGGAAACGTACTAGTTATTCTGATTGGCACACTGGACAATACATTTAGAAAGCATGAGTTATTAATGAGAAAAACCTAGAAAGGATAGAAGTTGTTCATGCTCCAAAGAATGCATAAATCTTACCAATTGTGGTAAGTTCTGGATTTAGAATGGATTCATCAGACACAATAAAACCTCCAGATACAAATAATTCATTATATGTATGATTTTTAACATCATCCAGACTATCAACACCAGCAAAACTAACGCAAGAGAGCTTCTTTAAAGTCACCAAGCCAGGTACCTGTTTAAATCCCAAAACAAAAACAGAATTAAGGACAGGTAAGAGAATGAAATGGTTAAAACTCAGGTGTGAAATAAACCTATAAGTAAAGGCTAACAAATACAAAAATAATTATTCCCAACATGTCCAAATATATAAATCAACATTTTCTGTACTGGGTACATCCCATGTACAGAACACTCTGAGAAAATGGCACCTACAACAGACCTAGAAAAAGAATGACAAAGGCCATCCTGTCTAGCCTTCTAGAGTGCAGTCAGAATTAGAGGGCAAGAGCCCATGCAGTCAGGAAAGCCTTCAAAGGGCCGTAGGACTTGAGACAGGCTCCTAAGACTGGATGGGGTACCTCCAAATGCAACACAAAGGGGAAATGATCTGGCAAAGCTGGGGGTACAAACAGGTTTTACCTGGGACATACAAATGAAGATGACAACAATATAAAGAGAGTCAACAGACCTACTGACATTCAAAGAATATTATTTGTCTTGATAAGTGACAGGGAGGGTCGGTGACATGCTGTAGTTTAAAATTTTGCAGAAGTACAAACTCGATCACAAGCTGATTCACAGATGGATCATTTAGGTCTCAAGTCCTACATCTCCCAACCTTGAAGTTTTATCTTTTGGAACTTATATTTAAAAAACAAACAGTTTTAGCCTCAAAGACAGTAAGATTTGAAAATAAGGGAGCTTTTATAACCAAA